TCCCAGGATCCATGGGGGAAAAAAGGGAAAAACCCCAAATTTGGCCCGGAAAAAAAAGAAAAAGGGGGGTTCCAAAAAAAAAAAAAAAAAAAAAAATCATACTTCAGATTTCAGCTTAGAGGGATAATAGGTACAAGCCAAGTGGACACAGGGAACAAAGCTGGTTCCTGGCAGGAGAAATGGGTAAATGGCAAAGGCAAAGACAAAGATAAAGATCAGGTTGCCATGATCATTCTTGTAAAGTCTTTTGGGGGACATATGTTTTCATTTCTCTTGAAAGAGTACCTCACAGGAAACTGCCAGAAGTTCTCCAAAATGTTCATATAATTTTACATCCCCACCAACAACAAATGAAAGTTCCAGTACACTAAAATCTTACCAATCTTTGGTATTGTCAGTGTATTTGACTTTAGTCCTTTTAATGGATGTGGATGGTATCTCACTGCAGTGATGACTAATGATTAACAACTTTTGTTCTTATTGACTATTCTTTTACCTTCTGTGAAATGTGCAAGTCCTCTGGCTATTTTTAAAAACAACTTTATTGAGATATGATTTACATACTATAAAATTCACCTGTTTTAAGTATACAATTTAATGATCTTTAATAATTGACTGAGTTGTGCAACCATCACCACACTTTAGTTTGAGAACATTTCTATCACCCCAGGAAGATCTCTATTCCCATCCTTAGCCCTAGGCAACCACTAAACTATTTTTTGTTTTCACAGATTTGCCTATTTTGGGTATTTCATATAAATAGAATCATTTGATATCTGGTCTTTTGTGTCTAGCTTCTTTCACTTACCATAATGTTTTTGAGGTTCATACATGTTGTAGCATGTATAGTTTTTCATTTCTTTTTATGGATGAATAGCATTCCACCATAGGGTTATACCATATTTTATTTATCCATTCACTGGTTACTGAACATTTGGGTTATTTCCACTTTTTGGCTATTATGAATAGTGCTGCTATGAATATATGCATGCAAATCTTTGTGCAGAACTATGTTTTCAGGGTAGATACATAGGAGTGAAATTAAATTGTCTATTTAAATATTTTGCCCATTTAAAAAATTTAGTTGTTTTTCCATTAAGCTGTAAACAATTCTTTATATATTCTGGATATAATTCTTTTGTCAGATATATATTGCAAAGTCTGTGACTTCATCTATTCATTTTCTTAATGGTGCCTTTTGATGAACAGAAATTTAAAATTTTTATTAAGTACAAAATATCAATTTTTTCTTCTATGGTTCACACTTTTTATGGCCTTTGTAAGAAATCTTTGCCAATCCCAAAGTCATGAAGATACTCTCCTATATTTTCATCTAAAAGCTTTAGGGTTCTAACTTTATGCTTACGTCTTTGATCCAACTGAAATTAATTCTTGTGTATGGAGTGAGGTATAGTTGAGGTTCATTTTCCCATATGAAAATCCAGTTGTTCCAGCACCATTTGTTAAAGACATTTTCCTTTCTTCATTGAATTGACTTAATTAAAAATAAAGTGACCAGGGCCGGCCCGGTGGCGCACTGCTATAGTGCGCCGATTGGGAAGCGCGGTGGCGCTCCCGCCGAGGGTTCGGATCCCACATACAGACCGGCCGCTCACTAGCTGAGCGAGGGGCGGGAGCAACACCGAGGGTTGCGATCCCGTGGCCGGTCCCGGCCCGGTACGGGCGTGACACCGAGGGTTGCGATCCGTTGCCAGTCACGAAAAAAGACAAAAAGGAAAAAATAAAAAAATAAAAAAAATAAAGTGACCATATACAAGGGGTCTCCAAAAAGTTCATGGAAAGATTCTTACTATCTTTTAGTTCCCCTTTTCCACAAACTTTTTGAAGTATCCTCGTACATGTGCATCTATTTCTAGACTGTCTATTGGTCTACTGATCTATCTAACAATCTTATGCCAATATCACAGGGTCTTGATTACTGTAGCTTTAGAGTAAGTCTTCAAATCTGGTAGCCTATGTCCAGCTTCGTCTTTTTTAAAGACTGATTGGCTAACTAAAGCCTTTGAATTTCCATATATATTTTAGAATTGGCTTGTCAGTTTCTTCAAAATAGCCCATTAGGATTTTGATCGGGACTGTATTGAATCTAGATATCAACTTAGGGAGAACAGACATTATTAAAAATATTGTCATCTAATCTATGAACACAGTTTATCTTGTCAATTATTTTAGGTCTTCATTAATTTCTTTCAATGACATTTTATAGTTTTCAGTGTTGAGGACCTGCACATCTTTCAGTAGATTGGATCCAAAGTATCTAATTATTTTGATGCCATTATAAATAGAATTTTAAACAATTCCATTTTCCAATTGTTTGTTCCTAGAAAAACTTTTAATATATCATGTTGAACAAAACGTGTGGAATTGTTTAATTTTTTTTTATAGAGTGGAATTCAATATAAGGACAACTATAATGACCTCACTCTAAGCCACTAATTTTTACCAATTAATAAATAATTTCTCATTAGTGATACAAAATAAATGCAAATTTTATTCACCCGCACCTTATGTTCAAGAAGAAGACATAGCAAACATTTTTGGATGGGATAAATTCTATACTTATTTACCAAACTATACTATAAATCAGATAAGCATTATTATCTAACGGTTCTTAGAGAAATCATTTTTTCTCTAAGCATTAAAAAATGTGGGGGGGGGCATATTAAAGACTTCTGCTGAGCTTCTAGTGCTCCTCTAAATGAGTAAGGAATAGAAAGGTACTAGAATATTTATCCTAGTGTATACTAAATTAAATATTTTTTTGAAGTCTCAACAGACATGATAAGGCTACTTTATCATGGCTGACAATATGCCTAATTTATTGAATATTTATTTGGAATTTTAAAAGGTTGTCTTTAGAAAATATGTCAAAAAAAGGGCAAATTTATTTTTATTAAGATTTTTTTTAAAAATCGTATAACCCTCAAAAAGAGAGAAATGAAATCTCTCATAAAACTAGATGTAATGACATAATTACCAGTTGATTATGATATCCACCCACTATATGTGCTTATGCACATTATGGTTTGTTTAGGGTTTTGGAAAACTCATTATCTAAGCAAGAAGAGCAAGGAGGAATTAAGAGAATAAGCATGCTATAAAAGTTTCCTGAATCTCTACCTCCATCTTCACAGTCTTCAGGGGCTTTGGCTTTCTTACAAAGACGAGGATCCAACCACGTGGTCGTCTTGGTATTGTGGCTGTAGAATAAAGATTTCAATTAGAAACAGTAGAGGAAAAAAAAAAAAGGAGAAAAGTATTTCAAAAGCAAAGATTAAAAGTGACTAAAAGGTATGTCTGAACATTTATCTCATACAGGCTACATTTGGTATGCCTCAGATTCTTACTTCAAAATTGCCATAAAGGGAAAGGTGATGATGCTAGAGGTATTAATTTGAGAATGAAGACTTTAAAGAAGGGCTAAAATGCCAAGTATAGACTCTTTTTTTTGGCGGCTGGCTGGTACGGGCTAAGTACAAACTAACAGACACTTATTTAAATAGTCAAAAACGTTTCAAAAGTGAGCACGTTGTCACATACTGTGCATTATCTCTCCCCCCCGCCCCCAAAAGAAAACCTGCATTGAAGGCTTTGCTTGCTGGTTGAATTCCTTCCTCCCTCCCTTAAAAAAATACTATATTTCTTGAGTGCCTATGATATGTAGATAGTATGTTGCGGGCTGGAAATAAAGAGACAAACAGAGAGAGCCCTTCCCTCATAGGGACTCTGTAGAATAAAACAAAATAAAAAGTTTAAAGTGGCTGTTTCTGCAACATGCAAATAAAAACCACAGGTACAGTTAAACTCCACTCTATAAAACTAAGTTTCCATCAGCATGGACTACATAGAAAAAAAAAGGGAGAACAAAAATATCCCACCCCTGTTCCTTTTTATGAAATAGGCCAAAGACATTTTGAGAGAGCAATGTCTGTTTAATTTCATTACAGATCACAGTCAGCTTCAGACCAGGTCACCATGCAATGACCTACAACAAAACTCCTACACTGCTGAGTAGATAAACACTGTTAGTTTAAGTATTTGAAATACAAGAATATGAAAGAAATAAAAAGTCATGGAAGAAAATATATAGGAGGACAATAAAATGTAAATTAAAGATATTATTTAAGTACTACAAGGACAACAATTAATGTGAATAAGTTATCTTTCCTCAGTGTCTTTAACAAGAGATAAGCCCACTAATCTCTACCTTGATCATTCTTGGAAATAAAGCCAATCATTTCAAGGAATTAATCAGATTTTCTATACCTTTTCTAATCCCTGCATTACTTACAGGGAGAGCTATGAAGCCACTGCCAGGTACGACACCAGTTGGTAGACCACAGTAGAAACACTTTTTTTGTATGCTGAATAATGGGTAATCTGTGTAGGGAAAACTGAAATTGTTTCTAGAAAGTCTGTCTTACCCATTCTGTCAGAGAGATAATCTCCACAAACTAAAACTAGTTAAATTAACTTTAGCAAGACAAAAGGGATCAGGACCCAAAGAGGCCTAGGAGCACGTAAACTGTTAGAAAACAAAAACATAGAAATACCTCGCTAAACTGAACTCAAAATTGCTACTTGAGAATAACTTAACTTTGGTTCTAATGATCCAAAATCTTATTGCTAAATTAGCAGACATAGGCAATCCACTTGGATTTTATCTAATATTTCCCAAGGTAAGGAAATGCCCATAGGGAAACATTTCTAAAACATAACAACTAAAGACTATAGACCAATATTAATATTCTTTTCTTACACTTTTTACAATCATTACAGATTTAATAGTAGTAGTAACACAGATCAACTATATTAGCTATGGCAAACAAAACAGTTTTATCTAGCAGCAAATTTTCAACTATATTAACCCCTTGTCAGATATATGGCTTGCAAATATTTTCTTCTATTCTGTAGGTTATCTTTTCACTCTGTTGATTGTTTCTTTTGCTGTGCAGAACTTTTAAGTTTGATGTAGTCCCATTTGTCTATTTTTGCTTTTGTTGCCTGTTCTTTTAATGCCATATCCAAAAGTCCTTGCCAAATCCAATGTCATGAAGCTTTCCCCCTATGTTTTCTTCCAGGAGTTCTATAGTTTTAAGTCTTCGGTTTAGGTCTTTAATCCACTTAATAACTATAAAGACATTTATTTTATAATTCTTTTCCCCCTATAATTTACTAACTTATTTCTGTTATCAGATTCAATGTCTTATAGTGTTTCTAAAGATATTTTAGCCACTTCTAGTGACTCTATACCTTACTGTGGGGTTTAGTACTAAAGTTAGCATGAGAGTCAAAATATAAATTACCCGTGAAACATCCCTTAAATTGTCTACAAAGAAGAGGACTCTTATACTTGGTTGTGGCTGTTCTGTGTAATCCTGGTTACCAATGTTTATTCAGATGTTTAACATAATCAATAATGTACCATATATGGAAAAAAAAAAAAACCCACCATACACGCAAAATATATGACTTTTAAATACTAGAATCCTACTTGGTACAGTAAGATACTGAGTCTATGGGAAGGATGTGAAATTGGGAACATTTGAGAAAACAGATTCAAGTCCCCTATGCCTAATTCATTTCTGAGTATATATTTCTTGAGTGTAGCACCTAGCCCTTAATATTTTAACTGTTATTTAGTTGTTATATTCTGTAACTTCACTACATTAATTTCTACCTCTGAGCAAAGTACTTTAAAGATTACAGCTGCATGATAATATAAAAGTTCTTCATAATGAAACTTCCAATTATTTGCATAATATTCTCAAGTGCAAAGTATATACAATTTTAGTTTGATCTAATACTTGTGCCACTCAATATCTCTATAAATATTAATAGTGCTTTTCTAAAAAAATAGTTTTGTTTTCTGTAAACTTACATTGTGCCAGTTACTCTGAGGACCAGTGATATTTTCCTCCTATATTATTTAACTATATTACCTGAATACATTAAACCCAAACTCTAGGATTGAAAAGTGGATAACAATGTGCCTCCCCCCATGATGATAATACTTGAAACACTCATTAAGTTGGACAACCTACCTAAGTTAAAAAAAAAAAAAAAGGAAAGCAAAACACTCTATATTCCTTACATTTTTCATCATTAGTGATGCGTCTGTTTTTAATCCTCTTGCTTTTATAAAACCAGAGGTCAAATACATTATTACACTATCTAAGTCAAATAAAAATTAAATGTCATCCAGGGAAATAATCAGATTAGGAATCAATTGTCTCTTGTATGAAAAATATTTTTAAAGAAAAAGAAATGAAAACCTTGTGAAATAGGCACATGTCGAAAATGGGGTTAAAAAAATTTTAGACAATCCTCACAGTGACAGGCATGTTAGAAGAGAGACAGATGTTTGCTTACTCAATGAAATAGATCATCCCAGTGTCAGTGTAGGCCATTTCCCAGTTTTTGGGCAGTGGTTCCAGAGTCTCATCTTTCATCATATAATTTCTAAAGTCCATGGAGCTATTTGTTTGATTGTAACTTGGAACAGTCTTCATCCAGTCAGATGACTCAGAATGCCTCTCTCTGTTTTCTGTCATTGTTCAAAACAGAACGGTATGAAAAGTAGGTAAAGTTACATTCTTCAAACAGCCCTTTTCATTTCTAACAAAATGCCAAATACAACTATGCAAATTTCCTTGTGTATCACGTCCACATTTTGCTATAAATTTTGATGTAACAAATAAACATATTCAATTTTTTTCATTTACTAATTGACATTAACCCTATATAGAAACTCTGATGCTTATCTGGGAAAGAGGCAAAAAAAACAACACTAGAATCAATTTAGTATAAATCCTAACAGCAGTAGCAGCTGTGTGTCAGGCTCTATTTTAAGCACTTTACATATATTAACTCATAATCCTCACTACAAACCCTGTAAGTACCTATCATTACTATTCCCATTATATCGATTGAGAAACCTAAGGCACAAAGAGGTTAAAGTAACTTAGACAAGGTTACACAGCCAGTAAAGTGCAAAGCCAGGATCTGAACCTAATTCTATGCTCTTAACTGCTATACTAAGCTGTCCTGTACACGTTCAACGTAAGTCTTTAAATAATACTAATTTTAAAAAATCACACTTAATAGACTTCCTGCTATTAAACATAATTCTCTGTATGGTAATATTAAAAGCCTTTTAGAGTCCCAAAGCCCATAATGTACCTGAGAATACTAAAATTTGCTCACTGTCCTGTTAGTCCACGATCCATGCACTTATACCTTGTTTCTAGATCTTAAAAGATACTACATAATATATCACTGTAACAACTCCAAACTGCAGGCGATGCCTCAGAATCAGAGAATATGAGAAGAGGCCTTAGATATTAGATGTCATTCCCTGTAATACTTCAACTCCAACCATCCTTTATCCAACCAAGTCCTTCAACCCATTAATCCCTCCTACTTACTACATTTCACTGCTCCTCACCCTTTACTCATGTCCCCATTGTCCTGCTTATCCTTAAATTCCATGATCAACCACTATTATCACTCCCTTATAAACACTCCTGAGTCCTTTGCTCCGACCTAACTGCATTGTACCAGCCTGTCAAAACCATAACTCTGTTTAAATCCTACTCTCCACTACTCCATGCCACTCCATACAGCTTGAACACAGGCAATGCTAACTAGCTCGACTTAATATCATGATCACCAACCTCAAGTGGGAATTTAATGATGCACAACAATCATAGTAAATTTCTTTAGTCCATTCACTCTGACACTCTCCTAGATAACTATTTCACACTTTCTTTCTCCTTAAATCATTTACTACTTTACCCTTATCCCTAATATCGTTTGATGACCTCATTTCCTATTTCACTGAGAAAACAGAAGCAAGCAGAAGAGAACTTCCACAAACTCCTACCATCACATCTACACAGCACCTGTGTCCATTTACCCCACCATCTGTTACTATGGAAGAACTGTCTGTAGTCTTAGCTAAGGCTAACCTCCAATTATAAATTATATCTCATCCCCCTTTGCCTACAACAATTCTCTCACCCTCCTTCCTACATCACCAATCTTCCCTATCTATTAGATCACATCCACTCACATAAAAACATGTTATTTCTCCATTCTTTAAAAAGAAAATAAACAATTCTTTCTCCTCTAGCAACCATCCCTTTCTCTCCTCTTTATACCAAACCACCTTGAAAGAGTTCATACTTGCTACCTCCACTTCCACTCTTCAAATTTTCTCTGGACCTCACTCCAGCAAGACTTTTGAACTCCCATCAATAAAACTGTTCTTATCAAAGTCACCAATAACCTCTAAATCGCTAGACCCAATGATCAATTCTCAGTTCCCATCTTACTTGAGCTATCAGCAGCATCTGACATAGTTGATCACTTTCTTCCTTGCACTCAATAACCTTTTAACTGGTATCCCTTTTTTGCCCATGTCCTTCTACTGCCTACTGTCAATACAGTAGCCAGAATGAGCCTGTTAAAACCTGTTGTATAATGCTACTCTTCTACTCAAAACCCTATAAATATTTCTCATTCCTGAATAAAACCCAAAATTCTTCTAATGACCTACAAGATCCTATATAATAGGCAGTTTTCCCTCTCTTGCCCCCATCATTATCTGACCGACCTCACTGGCTACTATTCTATTCTACTGCTTTCCATCACTCTGCTCCAATCACATATAATGCGTTGGCCACATTATATCTAATCACATTGGTTTCCTTGCTATTATCTGAATATTCCAGGCATGCTCCCAACTCAGGGCATTAGTACTTATCGTTCCCTCTGTCTGCAATGATCCTCTGCCAGATATTTTGAGTTTACTCACTCATTTCTTTCAAGTCAATCTAAAATTGCAAACTTTGACCATCACTACTTCTTATGTACTTCCTCCACTGCTTTATTTTTCTCTTTAGTACTATCTAACACACTGTATACAAGGGTACTTCAAAAAGTTCATGGGAAGATTGTATTATCTTTTAATTCTATTTTTCTAGAAACTTTCTGAAGTACCTATGTTATTTGTTTATTTATCTTGGCCAGTTCTGTTTTTCCCACCAGAAGGTGAAGTCCATCAGGACAGGGTTTTTTTTTTTTTTTTTTTTTCTTGGCCAGTTCTTTTTTTCCCCCCAGAAGGTGAAGTCCATCAGGACAGGGTTTTTTTTTTTTTTTTTTTGTCTATTTTGTTCACTACTTTATTCCCAGCATTTAGAACAACGGCTAGCACTTAGTAGCCTAGCAGATGCTCAATAAATATTTGTTGAATGAATAAATGAATGAAAGACAAGATTTATTTTCTATAGAGAAAAAGTGATACAAAATAAAAGGCACCCAGTGTATACATCAAGCTGGAAGAGAGTTACATTCCTGGGAAATAAGTATGTTGGAGAAAAGCAAAAGCAACTACATGATCTATCAGCACCACACTCTCCCAAGTGAGCCACCGGCCAGCCCGCAACTACATGATCTGTAACACTTTTCTTAATATAGTTCCAAGTGACTAAGTAAAGGAGTTTGCTTAATAGCCAGTGACTTGGGAAGATGCTGCTTATATACCACCATCACCTGGAAAAAAATTTTTAGCATTATTACATAACATGTAATTCTATGTGGGCATATTAGCATTGTTTTTGGTTAATTCTTCAACCAGATATAAAATAAAATACATATTGGTATATACAAATAAACCTCTACTTACCTTCTTCCCTCTCCTACTCCCTAACAATTTTCTGATTTTTGAAGGCAGTGATTTTAGTCCCTAAAAGCAATACACAAAGCACATTTCCCCAACTTTGAATGGTAAGTTAACAACTACGGTTAGTACTTATTCAGAAAAGATGAAAGGTTTTTAGTCAGGTATTTTGTTATTTTTTTATTTAGATATTCTGAATATTTTCTCTTACAAAGAAATATATAATCCATGTAAGTGTCCTGTGGTATCTATACAGAAGAGGTAGTATACAAACTTCTTCCCACACACTCCTGGATATACTCTCATTAAATATTAACATCAAAGAATATGTAACATATGGTTTAACAACAGGCTAACATAACAAGCATAAACTATGAAGATTAAGGACAGGTTTACCTCTGAGGGAAATGTAGTAATCACTGAAAGGCTCTTCATTAGAAAGTTAAAAAAAAGAGCATTCTCTTTTCCCTCAAATCAAGAACATATAAATTCCCATACTGGGAAAGATTCATGGTCTCTAATCTGACTGTTCAGCATTTAAAAATGTTAAAATTTAATTTTATTTTTTAAATTTAAATTCAATTAAAAGCTGACTTCAACTTTAAAAGGCTCCATGATTTGATGATTTACCTTATCAACCCCTAAAGAATAAACGTGAATTCACCCAAACCTTTTTAAACCTGTTTTCAATCTTTACATCCAAATACATTGGGGTAGTTCATTTAACAGTTAACATACTACATGGCATAACTATGTGAGAAGTCAGGACTATAAAACAATTCATACTCAGGAGAATGAATACATTTAATATGAATGTATTAAAAGAATAAATATAATATACATAGCAAATTTTAATAACTGATGAAGGAAAAGATCAGGTACTTTGGGAAAACGATATGGAGATGTGTTTTTCAAATTTGGGAATATGATCAATATTTTTTTAGTTCCTACTATGTGCCAGGCGCTGTTTTTGGTGCAAGGGATATAACAATGAACAAAATAAGCAAAAAATTCCAGACCTTCTAAAGCTTACATTTGAGTTTTGAATGGAATTATTACAATAAATAGCATTGAAGTAGTTCAGCTGTAATTCTACAGTTTCCTAATCATACTCTCAGTTATAAGGGTAAGAATCTCCTAAACAATCACCTCATTACTAAGGGGTACTCAAAAGGAGCAGATTCTGCACCATTAAATTTTGGTTGGTTTTGCATTTAATGAAAAATATGGTAGTCATATTTGGAAATTTTCTTTGAATGGATTTAGAATTTAAAATCAAAATACTGCTAACAAACCTTTCAGATCATTTCTACTGGTGTATTGTATTTCCAAACCCTATGTACTTTGTTTGGGCTTTTTTTTTTTAAAAAAAGATGACCAGTAAGGGGATCTTAACCCTTGACTTGGTGTTGTCAGCACCATGCTCACCCAGTGAGCTAACCGGCCATCCCTATATGGGATTCGAACCCGTGGCCTTAGTGTTATCAGCACCGCACTCTACCGAGTGAGCCACAGGCCGGCCCCTAAAGGCTATATTCTAAAACATCTATATTTTGTTTATATCCTGTAAAGTAGGACTTAGGTGAATAAGATTCCCACACTTCAGCATCAGAGATAAATCTCAAATATTTTAGGCAGCAGGGTAATGGCATATTATTTTATTTTATTTTATTACTAATGATAGCTTATTATTGATTTCTCAAAATTGGGACAACTCACTTTAACTTACAGAATGGTTTTTGCTATATACCCAACCTTTTCAAAAAATTAGAATCCCATCACTTGTTTAGAATCTACCTGTGCTTTGTGAAAAATTTTAGTACTTCTAATTCAATGTCATAGTAAAGTCAACCTAGAAGATCAGTTAGAAGTTGTTCATCAACATACTAACCTGCATTTCCACTACCGTTAATAGCTTCCTTCTCCTCATCTTCCTCCTCTTCAGGAAGAGAGCTGTCCATTCTTTCCATCTTGCTTACAGATGTAGTTCGTTTTCTTTGAGATTCCGTGTCAAACTCATTATCAAAGAGGACCTGATCAACCGGATCTGGCTGGAAAGGGCTGGGTTCTGCTGGAGGCTTGGGAGTTCCATAGAAGTTTCCTGAAGTGGACAAAATAACAGCCGCTGAAAGTACTAATGTTGAATTGAGAAGACAATATGACTTAGTGTATGTCTTTGCCCTGCTTCTTACACTGAAGTTTTTGAATATCTACCATTGGCCAAAAGGAGGCCAAAGTACTCCGTATTGAGAGAGGGGGTAGAAATACAGAATGGAACTAATTTCTCAAGTGCCCTACACCATATATTACCTTACATTTAAATACTATTTGTACGAAGGCCAGGAAGTTGACTTCAGTAAATAGATTATTTATTCCCACAGGGTTTACATTACATGGGTTCTGAATTAGGGCTTCATTTGTAAATTTAAATACATCAATGCTCTCATGTAAGACTGACATAAAAGGGGGGAGTAAGGGAAGATAAAACTAACTCAAATAATTTTGTTCTAATATGTAACATAATAAACTATTTTGGTAAAATTAGGAAATATGTTGGCAAAAGTAAAGGTAAGAACTAACAAGTTTGTATAGAAATGTAGGCTGTTTATGTAAAGACAATTTTTAAAAGTTTTTCTGAGTATTCTAATTATATTAATGACAATTTATTGAGAAAATAGACATTAGAAGCATAATTCAAAATTGGGTTAATCTCAGGAAAGCAAGGAATACTCTAATTTTCTCTTAATCAGTAATCTTTGAGTTAAAATACTTAATTTGTCATGTAGCTCCCATTAGGCAGCCAAATACAAAGGAAAAGGATTCAACAGGTCTAGTTGCATTACCAGTCTGTGGCTTGACCTTGTGTAAATCATTATGTTAATGTTATGGAAAGATAAATATGGTTAGGGAGTAAAATACTCATAAACTGTTTTTTTGTTTTTGTTTTTTAAATCACATTTTCTAATCAAATTCCTTGGCTGCTAAGGAGGTAATTAAGATGATCACTCACATGAAGTAAATTAATAAGGTAGATAATGGATTTAAAGCATAGGTTGTCCCCCATAACAGTGAGACAAATCTAGAAATAACATAGTCTACCTTAAATAGTGCATGCTTTGAGCAGGAAATCATTAAGATGAATTCTTTTGAAGTCTGACTTTCAGTGGTAATTGTCATTAAAATATTCAAGGCAAAACAATGAAATCAAATAAAAAACTTTTCAACTATATCTTGTCTCTCTTCACTCAACTACCTACTCCCTTGCTTCCAAATCCATGTTTGAAATGGAGGTACTCCTGTCATTTGTATTAAAACAGAATAAACTTTCTGGCCCATAAGTAAAACAAAGAACCAATGAAAAAAAAAAAGCCAGTTTGCACTTCTCTGGGGCAGAGGGCATAGAAATTCTCCAAATAGAGGTTTGGTTAGGGAAAAGGAAGCTCTAGAATCTCAATTTTTCCAAAATAATAATAATAATGTACAATAATCACACTATCAAGGAATCTGGATGTACCATGACAGAAATAAAAAGTCCACTTTTTCTAAGGATGGTAGTAGTATTATTAGAAACACTAGAAATAAATTTTACTGTGAATTCTTAGTAATTACTACCTAACTCTAGGAAGTTTGATTTTTTTCCTAAGGGGAAAATCAGAAAAATGCAGGTAATTTTATGATTATTATCAATAATCACTGAGAAGATTTTAGGACTTCATAATATATTTTGGCAGTTTCCTTGTTAAAAAAGATACTGGGCTTAAAGTAAAAAAAGAAAACTAGCACTGTTTATAAATAAACTAGATCTATTTTTCTTAAGTCATTGGTAATATTCAGATTTCAAATATAGCAAGGTATAAAATTCCAAGGTTTGGGAACCCCGACTATAATTATTAACAGAAAAAAAGTTTTTCATCTTTTTAGAGCTGTTTTGGAAGTTTTTTTCCCTGTCTCAAGATTTTTTCATTTTTATAGTACAACTACTCGCTATTAAATATTTCAAATATATATAAAATTCAGATAATAGTGTTAGAACTATCTATTTTATTTATATAAACTTATTTACATAAAATATACGTATATTTATTTACTTACACACATTCTCCAGATATTAACTATTGCCAAATTTCTTTTAGAGCTCCTTTTTTTACTCTTCCAGCAAATACATATATGGTCACATGTGCAATGAAAGACTACCTGAGCTGTCCTGAAGCTGGTATGTGTCATTCCCCCAAATACTGTACACATCTAGGATGTACATATATATGTATCCATAACATCTAAATACCATTCTTTTCATAAAAGCTTCATAAAGTGTTTTCATAACATTTCATATTTTTTTGTAAATAGTATGTGTACTGTACATATCCTTTTGCAACTTTCTTTTTACACAATTATACTTCACGTTGATATATACACTTATAAATCTAATTCATTCAACTGATGTGTAACAGTCCATTTTTATGAGCAAATTAAAATGTATTTTACTCATTTACCTACTAAAGGAGAGTTGTTTCCATTCTGTCACCTTTTCTAATGGTGTTGTAATGAATATTCTGGTACATGTCTACATATGCACATGGGCAACAGTTTCTCTAGCATAGACATCTAGAGAGGGAACTGCAAGGTCAGAGTTATGTACATCTTTGAATTTACTAGCTATTGCCAAGATGCTCTCCAAAGGGATTGTACCATTTTATACTCCTGCTAGCAGTGTATGAGAGTTTCCATTTCTTGCAATTATCAGACATTAAAATGACTGCCAGTCTGAGGAGTGTAAAAAGATGTATAATTGGTTGTTTTAATTTGCTTTTCCTTTTAATTGGGCACACGGTAATTAATAACATGTCATACATCATTCTGTCACATACCAAGTTCTTATATTTAATGGAAGAAAATATAGAGGAATATCTTTGTGATTTAAGGGCAGAGTCTTAAACAAAACTTCAAAAGCACAAATCATAAGGAAAGCAATGATAAAACTGATACATAAAAATTAAGGATTTCTGTTTAAGGAAGAAACACAGGACAAGGTTAATATGTGACAGAATGGGAGAAAACATCTACATCCAATAAGAGATTAATATCTAAGGAATGGGGCCGGCCAGTTAGCTCATTTGATTGAGCATGGTGCTGATAACACCAAGGTCAAGTGTTAGGAGCCCTGTACTGGCAAGCTGCCAAAAAATACACACACACACACACACACGCGCGCGCGCGCGCGTATATCTAAGGAACGTCTGCAAACCAGAATGTGATTGGGATAACACTTTTCAAAACATGGACAAAACAAATACATGCACAATTTGTAGAAGTCCAAAAGACAAATAAGCATGTGAAAAAGATGCTCAAACTCTCTGATTTCCAGAGAAACTAAAATTAAAATGAGATCACTTCTGCAACCATTAGATTGGCAAATTATAAAACTGGGTAATGCCAAGTGTTGATGAGGATGTGCAGCTTTTACTATAGCTGCTACAGAAACACACATTGCTGCTGGGAATGTAGAATAGAGAGTTACTCAAAACTATTTCATCATATTACATATATGTACACTCTACAAATCAACAATTATGCTCTTGACTATATATTCCACAGACATTCTCATCCAGGTCTAAAAAAGACATGGGTAAGAATGTTCACTGAAGCTTTATCTGTGGTGATGGGGAGTTGAAAGTAATCTGGGAGACCATCACTAGAACAAGAGTTAAGCAATAAAATGCAATATATTCATAATATGGAGCACTATGCAGAAGTTAAAAGGAATGGATACAGTATAGTGACATGGATGAATCTTAAAAACAGAGTAATAAATGAAAACAGTAAAAAGATGAATGAGCTATATAAAATAGTTTGGATATAAATAATAAATATATGCATACAAGACATAATACACATTTTGCAAGAACACAACATACAAACAAAAACATACATATTAAATAAATCAGGAAAGTTAACTATAAGAGTGAGGTTTTCTTTTTTTTGTTTTTGGCATATAAGTAAAAACAAGTAAGTAGCTGTCATTTCCTCTGAGAAGTCTTCTCTAGCCACCTTATCTGAAGAAAATATTGCTTTCTTTAAATCTCTTGTTTTTGTTTCCTTCACAGCATTTCAGTTTAGTTATTTTGTTTTGAGAATGCCTTCTCCACTAATATGTGGGATTTATTAATGCAGTATCACTTCAATCTTGTTCATCACAGTATCCCTAGGCCCTCTAAGCACATAGTAGGTGCTTAATAAATGGTTGTTGAATGAATGAAACAGGATATAATAAATTAATAAATGAATGAATGAATGAGTTGCAGGAGCTAAGCCCACAAAAGTGTAGTTAGGTCAAACCTAGCAGGCAAAAGGAAATCACTGAAGGTTCTGAACAGAAGAGGAACATGATCAGAGCTGTGCTTGAGGAAGACCAGCATGACAGCAATGAGCAGGGTGGATTGGAAAGAGAGAAGAAACTGAAACAAGTGAGATTAACTGCAGTAGTCCAGACAGAAGATTGTCCAATGAGCCTACAGTGAGGTGGTGAAAGTGACAGTGGCTACAATGGAAGAAATGACTAGATTTGGTAACTGACTCAATGTAAATGTGAGAAAAAGGAGGAAGTAAATGAATGATTTCACTATTTTGAGCTCAAGGTACTGCTCAAGAGAAAAATAATAAAGAATTACTCTTTTGGATAGAACACAAACGTATATTGGGTGTGTTGAATTCAAGGTTAGATATTTATTGAACACTATCTCTAGGCACTGAAGATAATATCACGTAAGAAAGACACTATCACAGAGCTTGTGAAAAAAGGCAATTATAATAGCGTGATAAAACAACAATGGAAAAGTATAGGGTGCTGTGGCAGTGGATAAGCTTGCCAGTGAAGGGTGTGTTAGATAAGGGGAAAAAATTGGATCTAAAATAGAATCATTTAAGTTGATCTCAAACGTGTACTTCCCGGAATCAAGTGGGTAGAGCAAACAGAGAAACGAAAAGAAAACCAATTATTCTGTTTTTGTCGTCTTTTTTCCCAATTCTCTTTTCTCCAAGATAGTCAAGGTACATATAGGTTTTTTAAAGTATACAGATTTTGGATTCCCAACCACAAATAAAAAGCAATCCACAAATATGTGTTAAGTTCATATGATGAATGTGAATTATTATTGAATACGCAAACTAGCCAGTTTGACTGATTTTTAGCATATTGTTCAAAATCAACTTTATAATAAGATAGAAGGTTTTTGCTCATTATATAATCCCACTTTAATTAGTAAGTTACAAATCTCCTAATGAAAAGAAAATTTTCCCAAAAACTGAGAAGAAAAACACCCAGTTAAAAAATGTATCTTACTGATCAAATTCCCTCAGAAATAATTCCAGTCATTCAGATAGTTTTCTGGCTGGTGGTGTTAGTATTTGAGGACATACCGTCATATGTTCCACTTTCTAACAATGCTCCACTCTCTTCCAGTGCTTTGAACTGTTCAACAGAAATGAAATTATAGTCCACCCCTGGTACTTCCCCATCCCTGGGGGCCCTTGTTGTGCCTAAGGAAAAAAAAAAGAGAAAAAAATAGGTTGTAAAATGCTTTTAAACCTACAAAATATTCAGAGTAATAGAAAATTCATTCTACAGAGAACACATGAGAGACACAGACTATTGAATATACTGTACCTGCTAGAATAAGGATCGGAAAATTTTAGGCAACTTAACTTTATTTAGGTGAAAGGACAAGAAATAATGTAGGATGAGTAAATATACTTGATAAAATCTACAGATAACCATGAAATTCAAAACTACACAAACTCTAAAATAATTTTAGTGTCAAAGAAGGCTTAATTTCCCAAGACATAATAATTAATTAATGGTAGTTGAGGTTTAGAAAGAATTAACAGCAAGAAGGAGAGATAAATCCACCAATGATAGACTTCGTTCCCCCCACCCCAACTCAAGTAAGGTATAACTGACATATAAAAATTTTATATATTTGTGGTGTACAACATGATGTTTTGATATTTATATACACTGTGAAAGATAGACTTTCTTTTAAAGTAGTTATCCTATGTATTTTTTTCTTCCCTAGCATAAATGTAAAACTAACATTCTACTTACTGGAGTCATGAACAACAAAAAGAAAAAATTCTTATAAGTTCTTTTAATAAATTTTATTTTAAAAACTTGGACAAATACTGATTATAAATTTATTTTGACTGATGAATAAAAAGCTTAAGACAGGTATTTACACATTGCTCCTTAGCCATTATTCTTTACAAGTAATTTCAAATAATTAAGCAGTAAGTAAACTGTTTTATAAAATTGACTATAGTAACAGATCACTCAATTTCTATATATTAAGGAATTCATGCTAAAAAAAATCTTTCTTTCAGATCCAAGGTAAAAATTCAGTTTATGGCAGCATTGCTCCATTTGACTAAATTTTACTAACCAAGAATCAATCACTTTTATAAACTAATATTAGAAATGTCCCTTCAAGTACTACAGAACATAAAAAGAGATTCAGCTTTTTAGCTGGGAATAGAGTCTAGGATATGGCAGCAAGTCCTGTGCAAGGATGCCTTTCAAAACCCTGAATAGGAACCCACTTAGGTTCCTATTCAGTAATGGCTCCAAGTAGGAGTACTTCCTCCAACTAGGAAAGTTGAGTTAGTCACCTTAGGCTCTTCATTCTACTCCATGTCCAGTCACCAAATCCAGTTGATTTCATCTCCTAAATACCTCTTGACACTTCTCTTCATTCCCACCATCACCTAATTCATATCATTATCTGTGGCCTGTATTGTTGTTGGTCCCCCCCAGGTCAACCCTTGCCTCTCCATGGCTACACCCCCACCCAAACTGCAGCCAGTAACTTTTCTAAAACAACAATGGGTGGTGGGGAGAGAGGGGGGAGAGGGCGAGATGACTTTTTCTAAACCTGCCAATGGCTTCCCATGATCCTAGGCATAAAATCCAGACTCTATAACAACACACTTTACAAGGCCCTTTGCAATCTGGCCCCTGGCTACCTCTCCCGCTTCCTTCTTGACTCACTATTTTCACATTCTAGGCTTCAGCCTTAATAGATTTTTTCCAATTCTTTTAATGTTCCTTGCACTCATTTACCTAGAGGACTCCCTACTTCCTCATCTATTCTTACCTCAGCAAGTGAGTGCAAGGAACTCCCACCCATCCTTCAGGTCCCGACTTAGAAAGTTTATCTTCAGAGAACCTTCCCTGATTTTGGTGTATAGTAGGGTGATATGCAGAAACCATGTCTATTTGGTTCAGAGTAATAGCTCCAAGTCTTGGCATAATGGAAGGATCATAGTAGGTACTCAATATACATAGCTGTCAAATAAATTAAGTGAATTTCAAATAAATGCAATTAGAATAGTGCTTGGCAATATGCTATTATTATTATTATAAATTAATTCATGGGAAACTCTTCATTGCTTCTACTTTTTAGTTGCACTACATTCTGTTATATTCTTTAATGTGAAAAAATCCACAAAGATGATGATAATACATTAATTTACATAAAGATCTGAGAAAATAATAATTAAGCCAACATTCTATGCAACAAAGATGGCTGAATTTCCCCCCCTCATTTTTTTATCCAACTTTTTCTAAAAGTGAGCATTTCTTTATCTGTTTCTATATCACAGAGGATATAAAATCCAGAAAACATAATTTCCATTTTTTCTTAGTGTAAAACATTTTTTCATTTTCAAAGTTTTGTTTCTCATATACTGACCAAAACTACATTGTTAGATTCCCTAAATCAACAGCTTTTAGCTCCATATTAAATAAAAATTAACATTAGAAGGTAAATTCAATGATTAAAATTATAATTTATAATTACCTGTGGTACATGGAAAAAACATGGCCACAATATTTTAAACCTCCTCCCATGAAGAGATGGGGCTTGTTGCCTCATCCCCTGAATCTAGACTACATTTATGACCTGCTTTGATTAATTTAATGTGGACAACATGATGTTGTACAAGTTCAGGAATTATAAACTTCCATCTTCACTCTCTTGGGATGCTTCCACCACCATGCAAAGAAGTCCATGCTAGACTACTGAATGATAAGAGCCCCAGCCAACAAGCCCCAGACACATGAGTGAGGCCATCTTCTCCCCTCCAGCCCCATTTGAACTGCTGATGACTGCAGCCACATGAGTGATCCTGGCTGAGTCCAGCCAACACATGGAATCATGAGAAAAAAACACATGATGGTGATCTTAAGGGACTAAGTATTAGGGTAGCTGGTTATGCAGCAAAGGCTAATTGAAATAGTATACACATACACTCTACTATAAAATGTAATGATAACATAAACCCAAATTTAAGAGCAAACCACATTATAGGTAATATTATAAAAAGGTGGCCAGTTAGCTCAGTTGGTCAGAGCATGGTGTTAAAATATCAAGGTCAAGCGTTCAAATCTTTGTACCCACCAGCCACTAAAAAGAAACCAACAAAACGTTGTTGATGGGGGGAGGGGGACAGAGAGAGGGGAGAAAAGGAGAAATTGGTAAAGGGACATGAAAACCAACTACATTATATAGTGATAACTTAAATAAATAAATAAGGTGGCTCTGGGGGAGGAAAAATAAAGCACTGACCCAAGGGGCAAGAGGAACTCTGTTTTAGTCTTGGATTATTACTAATGGTACAATTTGGAGCAAGCACTTAATCTCTCTGGGCTTCATTCTCTTTCTGCAAAGTGGTGTTGAGCAAGATGATGTTCATGATTCTGTCCATTAATAGATGTGAATGTTAATTCTCTTTACAAAGTATTACATTCTCCCCCAAAACCATATAACTTCTCACACATAAAAAGTTCCCTTCCTTTCCCTACCCCATAGCCTTCAGCATTCCAGAAAATTTATCTTTATATTCTCCTGATATACAATATATTTTATGTAAAGCTTTCTATACCCTTTCCCTGCAAGGTTACCACTACCTTTCTCCTTTTTACACAAAAATTTCTGCAAAGAGTTCTGTTTACTCATGGTCTCCAATTCCTCCCCTTTCATTCTCTCTTGAGCCCAGTAAGATCATTGCCCCAACCATTTACTGCAACAATTTGCTATGATCAACAGCAGTCTCCACTTTGCTTACTAACTCAATGTTTTAAGTATTAGTCCTCATATTATCTGACCTATGAAAAACATTTGATACAACTGATCATTCCCCCTTTTTTCTTTTATTCTAAAATATATAGGAAAGTACATGAAATATATATGTAAAGTTTAACAGCTAACTATAAGCAAATCCATCCATTATCAAGACCCAAAAGCCTCCTTGTGCACCTCACATTATAAACCTCTCCCTCCATTCCCAAAGGTAACCATCATCTTTACATTTGTGATGATTTCCTTTCTTTTTCTATGGTTGTACCAACCAAGAGATGCATTTTTAAGCAACATGGCTTAGTTTTGCCTGTTTTATAATTTCATGTGAATGGAATCATACAATATGCATCCTCCTGTGTCCATACCAATACTCGTTATCAGGTTTTAGAATTTTTGCTAATATGATGAGTGTGTAAAGGCATCTCACTCTGTATATTAATGTGCAACTGCCTTATGAAATTACACATTCTTGTTCATATATTTACTGGCCATATAAATTTCCTGTGTTGTGAAGTGGCTGTGTAAGTCTTTTTCCACTTCTCTATTGGGTTGTGTGTCTCTTCAAAATTGATTTGTAGTTCTTCAGATTCTGGATACTATAGTACATTATCAAATCTAAGAAACCAACAGCTTCTAAAATGCACTATTATTTTATTTCTAAGAAAGAAAAAAGCCCTGGCAATTATAATTGAAAGATTCCATCTATTTTAAGGTACATCCCAATTGCAGAGATGTTAAAATATGAAATATTGCCTTAGTATTGATGAAGTACTGTAGCCCTTTGTTAAATATATGTTGCCAATAGGGCATTTCTGTGAAATATGCTTTCTTGAAACAGCACTTTCTGCAAAACCGTGCACCAAAAATAATAGAGATTATGGAGAAAATAGGGTCAAGGTTAACCTCTAAAAACCTATTGCAACTTTGTAACCAGAATACAAACAAAATTAATAACAATCTTAATTAAAAGTATTAATACAGCTTAAAAGACACATAAAATTCCTAATAAAAATAGTTGAGTCGATAAAATACTTTGTTTTTTAAAAATGAAAATAAATGAAAAGAAAAGGTAGATCGACAGAAAGGGGTGTAAGGAAGGGCCAAGGCTACTGAATAATGAAGACAGGGAAAATTGTGCAATATATAATTTTTAGAGAGAACACATGGTCGAACTGAGAAAAGATGCCAAGCTAAAATGAATGGGCATCACGTATACTACCATATTCTTCCTCAGCTGCATCATTCAGCTGTGTTTGCTTATTCTGTTTACTTGCTGCTATTTGATGATACAAAACATTAGCTTGCTGAGGAAAATGGCATAAGAACCAATACAACCTCAGTTAAATTGACATCATTCTCTTATTTACCAATAACATATGAACTTATCTTCATTTCAGAAACAAA